GGGCTACAGTCTATGGGGTCACAAGAGTCAGATATGCCTTAGCTACTAAACCACCCCCACCAGAGAAGATAAAATACGTGACCCTAACCAATGACTTACAATATACTGCTTCTAGTTGGCTGCATAGGGCTTCTCAAGGCATTGACAGCCGCCAATCAAGGTATCCTCAACCCCTCCCTTCTTCTCCACTATAAAGCTCTCCCACTTTCTACCTCCCTTTGAGTCTCTGCCAAAGCACAAGTGATGGTGGCTGACTCCCTTGCTATATAGCAAGTTCAGAGTAAAGTCTTTATTTTTTCTCATTTGATTGGCCACTAATTTCATAGCATGCATGCGTGCTAAGCTGCTTCAGTCGTGTCCAACTCTTTGTGACATTATGGATTGTAGCCTGCCACCAGGCTTCTCTAAGAATATTGGAGTGGGTTGCCATGCCCTTCTTCAGGGGATCTTCCTGATCCAGGGATCAGATCCTTGTCTCTGGGCATCTACCTGTACTGGCAGGCGGGTTCTTTACCACTAGCGCCATCTAGCAGTGTGGTTTAAATACATTCTGTAGACCAACTGGTTCCCAAATCATCCAACTATCATTCATTCACCCATTCAAGAAACATTTATCACAACCTTTAATATGAGCTATATTCCTTGCTAGGTGCAGAGTCAAATGAAAAAAGATATAGTTCCTGCCCTACAGGACATTAATTAGCTTGACAATTACAGAGATGAACATGAACAACTCAGCAACAAGGTTGACAGGCATTACTGTGCTGGGCAGTGTTCTTCAAAAAGTGTTATGCTAACTACGGCTTCCATGAGACAACTTCCAGGAAGTGTAAAGGGTTGAATGTTTTTACTTTAATAGTGTAAACTTGAGGGGCATGACGCTAAATGAAGTAAGCCAGATTATAGAAAGACCAAACTTGCATGATTTCACTTATATATAGAATCTAAAAAAGCCAAACTCCTAGAAACGGAATGTGGAATGATAGTTGTCAGGGGCTAAAGGGAGATGGAAATGGGGAGGTGTTGGTTCAGGTGTAGTTTCAGTTAGGCAAGATGAATTGCTCTGGACATCTAACGTATGCAATGTGAATTAGAGTTAATAACCCTCTGTTGTGTACTTGAAATACACTAACAGGGGTAGACTTTCAGTGTTCCCACCAAGAAAGAGAGGAAGGAAGGAGGGGAAGGGGCAAGGGAAGGGGGGAAATGTAGCTGTGTGAAGTCATGGGTATGCTAGGTTGACTGTGGTGATCATATACCAATGTATACATGTATCAAAATGTATACCTTAAAGGCATACAATTCATATTTGTCAACTATGCCTCAATAAAGAAGGGAAGAAAAGGGGGGAAGAAAGGATTTCAAGCTCTACCAAGCCCATGGTTTCACAGATATTACTGCTTTATCTGCATCTGTCAAAATCTAGTCAGGAGATAAGTCACCCTTCTTTTAACAGGGGAAATTCAATATAAATAACTGTTAATGGGGTATTAAAAGCCAAAAAGGCACAGAGAGAATACTGAAGGTTATCATGCAGGAAGCTGCCACTCTTGGGGAAGAGGCTGAAATCGTCCAGTTTTAGAAGCTTGGCGGACCCTGGACAGCTGAAATTCAAGATCCTCTGACAAGTAGTTGCTCAGTTAAAACCAGCGTCTCTGAGCTGTAAGTGGGCGGTCCTGTGGGCCAGGGTACCAGATAGACATGAGGGCATCAAGTGTTACTGACAACTGTGCCTGGAACGCCAGCCTCTGTTGGGTGAAGAGGTACTGGGGGAGGGGGGCGGCGGGCAAGGGAATAGGAAGCAAAGAGGCAGAAAGAACTGAGCCCTCCTGCCCCGCGAGCTGTGCTGTCTCCTCTGGCTCCATCAGCAGATCCCAGTAAGGAGGCAGCTGGCAAAAGAGAAATGGGATTTGGTGAGGGTTTCCCTGATAGCTCAGTGGGTAAAGAATCTGCCTGCAAAGCAGGAGACTCTGGTTTGATTCTTGGGTTGGGAAGATTCCCTGGAGAAGGGATGGGTTACCCACTCCAGTATTCTTGGGCTTCCCTTGTGGCTCAGCTGGTAAAGAATCTGCCTACAGTGCGGGAGACCTGGGTTCGATTCCTGGGTTGGGAAGATTCCCTGGAAAAGGGAAAGGCTATCCACTCCAGTATTCTGGCCTGGAGAATGCCATGGACTGTGTAGTCCGTGGGGTCGCAGAGTCGGATAAGACTGAGCAACTTTCACTTCACTTCTTCACTTAGCCCAGCATTAAAGCTGAGTATAGAAGTGTTTGAATCTGAGAAACAATAGGTTAGTATCTGCTACAGTCCGTTGAGTGGGCCATTCAGCATTCACGTACACACGTTTCTAAATGTGATTAAACTTCCCAGAAGAAGAAAAACTCTATTTCTCCCAAATGAATTGCAAACATCCTTTGTACAAAAGATGTTCTCACTCTCTTCTCCAAAATCCCAGCAGACATTGTATCTGTTTCTGGGAAACAGTCACACTATTCATCTTATCTCCTGTCAGTTATACCTAGACTTTAGTCAGACTCATCTGAATATTGTTATCTCAAGGCTAAATTGCAAAGTTAACCCTCTTTAAAAAAAATGGACACAATACTAAGACGAAGGAGAAGTGAGCACACATACACACACCAAGAAAGAAAATGTGTGAAACTGCTTGGTAGCTTGTTTCTGTAATTAGTCACAAGTTAATCAACTTCATTTTTTCCCTACACACTCCATATTTCTTTCCTCAGCCAGTATGTCAACTGCTCAGGGTTGAAACCTGCTAGAGAGACCGAAGAGAGAAGGCAATGGCACCCCACTCCAGTGCTCTTGCCTGGAGAATCCCATGGACGGAGGAGCCTGGTAGGCTGCAGTCCATGGGGTCACTAAGAGTCGGACACGACTGAGCGACTTCACTTTCATTTTTCACTTTCACACATTGGAGAAGGAAATGGTAACCCACTCCAGTGTTCTTGTCTGGAGAATCCCAGGGACAGGGGAGCCTGGTGGGCTGCCGTCTATGGGGTCGCACAGAGTCGGACACGACTGAAGCGACTTAGCAGCAGCAGCAGCTGGAGCAGCAGAGCGACCCAAGCCTTCAGAGTCTAAAGGGCTGAAATCTTTTTCACCTCTGAGGTTGTATTTTTCCTTTAAAACTTGTCACTGGACATGGAAGTGCTAAAAAAACACACCCTGGAGGATGCGCTGGGTTTGACATCCTTCATCACCTATTGTGTAGGGACAACACAAATGTCCCTTTGTTCCCAAGATCACAAGCACCAGCCTGGAGAGTTAACGTTTTTTTTGCCTGCAGGTTTAGTGGTAAAATGGTCAGATTGTTTCAATTTCTTTCTTGGGACCACTGCTGTCTTCCCTAGTGGAAACAAACCTCCCGTGGGAACCCAGAGCTCCAAACAACAGAGGTCAAAATCAAGGAACAGGAAGCAAAATGTCTGCGTGGGTTAGTGAGAGGAGCCATTCCCTTTGCCTCCGCTGATTCCAGACAGTACGTTCTGACCACGGCGAGAGCAGCAGACCCAGCTGAGTGCTCAGTGACTCAAAGCATCAGTTACATTCTGTAAGATAAGCGTGTCGTATCCCACCTAGGGCCACGGTGCGTTGCACCTTCAGTTTCATCCCACAGTCCCATTACGGTGCAGAGGATCATGAGGGTGGGTGAGATGCTCCATAAATTCAGGGACTGTGGTGCCGTGAAAAACTTCCAGCTTGTGCCCCAGGATGTAGAGAGCAGGAAGGTGCGCTGTCCTCACCTTCACGATGAATTAAGAGCCAAATTAACTTCAAAGTCGCAACTTTTTTGTAACTCACCAGAGAACTGGTCACAGAGCAGTCTGAATCTAAGGAGACTCCAAGAGAGAGGAGGAAAGCACCTCATTCAATTGCTAGAACATAATTAGATGAAATCAGTATTTTTCAGATGTCCTAGGTAAACATCTCCAGACAGATACACATACACATTTAATTCCATGGGCCTCTCATTTACTATCTAGAATAAGGTTCAGATTAAGAGATGGTGTCCCTGGTTCGATTCCTGGGTTGGGAAGATTCACTGGAGAATGGGTTTCCCATATAGTTCAGCTGGTAAAGAATCTGCCTGCAATGCAGGAGACCTGGGTTTGATCCCTGCGTAGGGAAGATCCCCTGAAGAAGGGAAAGGCTACCCACTCCAGTATTCTGGCCTGGAGAATTCCACGGACTGTAGAGTTGGATACGACTGAGTGACTTGCACTTTCAACAGGTGGTATGGTTGGTGGTAAATTTTACCAGGTTGAACTATCAAAAATTGATCACTGTTTTTGGCCCATAAAAGTTTCAATCTAATACATCACCATATTCTAAATTAATGGCTGTTGGACATTACCAATGGGACAAAAGTTACAATACTGAATTAGACTAAAATTATTATTTGCTAAGAGAACAAAAAAGTATATGAAAACAGGTATTTATTATAGAACAATGTCTAAAAATTAATTAAAGGCTTAAACAGCAACAAAAAACATAATTCCACACATTGACATTGACTTTGTAGCATGAAAATTCTTAGCCGGAAGAGGCAAGTTTGTTCCTAATGAATTAACATGTAATAAATTCTCATGACATGATTCCAAAATATATGTATGAACTGACTTGACATGTTTATAAACATAAGGGCAATTTAAACACTGGTATTAGTTTTCATGAGTTCAGTTTAAGGTTTGCGACTGGAGAGTTATATTAGAAAAAAAATCTGAGATAAAATATTCTTTAGGAAGCTACCACACACCTATGTACATTTGAAGACAAAGGGTTAAAAGTCCACTCTTGATGAACACTGCTAAGCAAAGGATGTATAACATCCATCACACGTCTGTTCCAAAAACAGTATGTTTCCAAAAGTATACATTTCTTTACAAATAAACATTACGACCCTAATCACTATAGAGGAACTGACAGAGTGAGTTCCAAAAGATGCTCTCATCCCTGAGCCATATCTTAAGGCCTCCACTTTAATCTTGGGGCTTTAAGAACATCTTCTTTGCTTTAACTGGTTTTATGTCTCCATTTTCATCTTCTTCGTAAAGGGCACGGTCTCTTTTCTTGGCAAACTTTTTCCCAATTGTCCCCACCAAGGTCTCATATCTGTTAAGACGAAAAAACAGAACAAGTTTAGTTTCAAATAAAAAAGGAATCAACTTGTCAAGAATATCAAGCCAAATACATAACAAAGAACAAGAAAAGCCAAAACTATGATTAAAAGAAATAATCTGATTTAAAATTCATAATTTCTCTGTGAACAATTCACTTTTTTTTTGGTTTTGCATTATCCTAATAAATTAAGATGTATATTTTAAAATATGTATTAGAAGCAGCACTAGAAATTAGCCCCCAGCTGCCAGCCTGTGACAGGTATGAATCCACCCTAGGTCATGTTAGAAAAAGCAGGAAGTCCCCTTTCTGCTGGGGTACTCCCTTCAAAGGTATGGCAGACCCATCACCAGGCGGGAGGAGTATACACATGAGTTAGTGAATGTTGGGCTCAGATTATAAACCTGGTTTAAGGCAACACTTACCTTCTAGCCATTTCTTCATCTGACACATCGAGCTCCACTGTTTGCTCTTCAACTTCTTCTGCTTTGTTCTTAGCGTTCATCTGAAGCATTAATTTCTGAAAAAAACACAACGGTGGTGACTAGCAGGGCTAGAAAAAGCTTGTTAAAGGAATTAGTGTCAAACACATTTGAAGGTAGAGACACAGAAGCCACAGAATCTACAGGACTAGCCAAAACTTACAAGGGAGTCTCTAAAATTTAACCAACTTTACTCCACAGTATTTAATATAAGCCAGCTCTCAATTAATAAAATAAGACAAACCCACTAGATTAGACTTACTGTTAATGAGTCTAAATTGTATTTCAGATCAGAAATTTATTAGTTACTTGTATCTAAAGTAGGCACGCTAAGACACTAGAGTGGGGGAAAGCAGCAGTAAACTTCACGTGTCCTCTGAACCGCCGGCTACAGTCTACAGTCATTCTAAGCGCAGCTTCGGTGGCAGCTGGGGAAGGGGAGCAGCAGAGTGCTGGAAGGCTGGCGCTGGTGTACTGGAGGGCCTCCTCACCCCTAAACACGCGGGTGGGGAACACACTGATGTCCACGCGATGTCTGTGTGCCATGGATCCTTCCTCGGCTTCTTTTTCTCACATTAACCTTTTCTTGATAGGTATCCCTCGACAGACTTAAAAACAATATCCTCTTTCTCACAAAGGTGGGACCAGGAGAGGAAAGTAGAAATCACTTTTGACTAGCTTTTCCAACGTTTAAAGGACTGAAGATGAAGCAGTCTCAGGACAAGCTCTGTGGGGGCACAGACTTTGGTTCCCTGCTGCACTTCCAGTGCCCCCACAGGGCTGATGCACCAGAGGTACACAGTAAATATTTACTGAATAAACCCCACAGTAGGTGTCCCTTGAAACACACAGATACTATGAAATGTGTTCTAAGTACATCCTGCTTGTAATAAAGTAAGTGTTCTCAAGTTGGTATCATTCTTTTTATAACCAGGTACACTGAGCTTTTCTCACAATTTATTGACAGCTCAGACCTGCACGCCAAACAGTTCAAAACCTTTTCCCAGAGAGAATACATTCAGTGTTACAGAGTGCTGGTAATTAAAGTCACTTTCTAATAACGTCCCACATCAAATCTGGAGGGTCAGATCAACACTTTTTCCCACTGTATCACTTTGGAGTCCTTGCCCACCCAATACCCTAGTCTCTGGACATCATTTGCTCAGAGTAACCTTTGCTATCTTTTTTTACCTTTTACCCCATTGCCCTCATTCTCTTCCTAATCTAAAGCTTTCAGCAAGTCAGAACAGGAGACATATTAAAAATAAACACTTCCAGTGTTGATTTATGTAAAGTCGATTTTACCACCTTAATTACTACACCCACTCTAAAAAGGAGACAAAGGAAAATCAACCTGCAGTCTTTATAAATAAACACTGGTGTTTAGTTTGGCTAACTGTGGTTGCACCAGGCATCCTTAGAGAACCAGTTTTCAACCAGGGATGATTCTGCTCACCCAGGGGCCCCTGGCAATGTCTATAATGTTTGGATACACTTCAGGTTGCCACAGCTGGAGTGTGTATGTGGGTATCTAGTGGTAGGGGGCAGAAGTCAGGGATATTGCTCAACATCCCACAGTGCACAGGAAAGCCCCCACCACAAAGGAAATTTGAGCCCCAACGTCAATAGTCCCAGGGCTAAGAAACCGCTGCTTCATGAGAGACTTACCAAAGGAAAGCTCTGTATCACAAACCTCCCTTTGGTTGGCTAAGTACTGATAGGAGAGCTTTCAATACCTGAGTCAGAGTTCTAATAATTATTTGTTAAATGGAGGTCTGTGCTTCTCTACAAACCCGAGGCAGGAAGATTAAAATGAACAGCTCAGTTATAAGGTGAATACTTCCTCTGAAGACAAACTTTCTAAAGAATCATTTAAAAATCTATTTACAAGCTTGGATTAAAAGCTGTCCATTAAAAAGTCAAATTACTCAATTTTTAAGTAACACTTTTTCCATTAGAAAAGGTAGATTTATAGATGCCAGAAGATGATCTTTCATAATGGCATCAAATGAATAAAATCCTGACATTCCTGTAACAGATCTGAGTTAAAATTCTAACACTTACAGTGGCAATGTCGGGGACTGAATACTGCTAAATTAAATCATCCGCTCAGTTCTAACGTAAGACTAGACTGCAATGCCTGCAATTTCTTTAAATAGCTACGGCAATGTTTCAAGACTTGTTATTTTCTATATAATGAGGAGAAATGGTATCTTTTGGGAAAAAACCTAAACCCAATCATTAGCAGAAATAATTCAATTGGAAAAATTTTAAATCTGAAGCAATTATATTTAATACCTCAACCTCAGGATTAAATCCTCTGAATGACATTCTTCCATAGAGAAGATCTTCACACAACAAGAAACTCTGCTCTTCTATAATGAAACTCCTAAATGAGAAAATAAACCTGTATTAACAGCATGTCTACTTGTAGCAAAGCAGAGCAAATAAAAGTCAAGATTTCAAATGAAAAAACAGATCTTATGGTTCTCAGTGGAATCAAGGAAAAATACACTAAGATTTCTAATCTAAGGTTAGAGATAAAAAACAGACTGCTTTAGTCAACAAAAGAATTGAGAGGCAAGAACACAGGGCACCTGAAGTTTCCAAATATAAAGTTAAGTTTCCTTGATGTTTATGCTCCCCCCAAGTTTTTATTAAATTTGCGGAAATCAGTGTCCTAGGTGGCTTTAAGTGAGTGTCTTAGTTGGAGCTCTCAGCTAAAAATAATAATGACTGGTGTTGGATGACTTAAGCAGAGAAGTAATTTACTGTAAGGATATAGGGTATCTTACAGACGCTGGGAGAGCCAGATGAGCGGGACTGGAAAATGAGCAGAAATAAGAGTGGCTAGGTGACCCAAAACCAAAATCATCCAAGTAAAAACGGCACTGCTACTGAGAGGGTTCAACACTGGACACCACAGAGGGCATCCAGAAAACAGGATGCAGGTGGGGATGTTTCAGTGACCGAGGACTCTCCCATGAGTCACCAGTTCATAACCCCTATACCAAGCGAGCACATCCGACTACAGCACATGTTCTCCTGAACTTTTTGTTCAGTCTTTCTCATTCAACTGGCCAATCTTGTTTCTTGTAGAGTGCAGGTGATAAAACATCACGAACGTCCCCAAGTAAATCACCTCCCTCAGGAAAGCACCATACATATGCATTTAAGCATTTACTTAAGTCAAAAGGTGGACCCAAAGGCCAGCAAAGGATTCATAGAAGGACCACTGGCCCCTCAGAGGGCTTTCTCATGTGTTTCTATTGACTCAATAACATTAGTATGAAAAGGTGGTTTGTTATCTACAAGCACAGTTTCAATGGTGAGGGACACTCATGGAGCTAGCAAATAAGGGAAATATTCCAAAATATAACTGAAAACATTCTGCAATTTTCCTATTTTTATTAATCAGAATCCATAACTTTAGAGCTAAAACACATCCAAGAAATTATCAAATTTGTCAGTTTTTGCAGACGAGAAATGACTGCTCAGGAACAAATAAACACACCTGCCTAGGGACACAAATAACTGCAAAACAGGGCAAAAACTCACTGCTGGGGAACAACTCTCTGTGGGTCTCCTTCATTTCCGCACACCTGTGAGTGATGCACTAGATGTCCTTTCGTTTTTTTTTTCCAAGGATACGTGCACGGTGAACAGCTTCGAAAGGCTAAGCTACTGTCTCCCTTCTTCTGCTGGAGCAATGCACTGACTTGCTTTAAGGCTCAAAATAAGGATACTGCTTCTCTTGGGGCCAAGGGCAAGTCTGTTTGCAGTGCAGTATCAAAGACCCGGGGCACCTAAGCTCAGGACTCCTCTGTTCTGATGTTACCCTCCTGCGAGTACCACGCCATCCTCCCTGGGATACGAGGAGATGCTGCCAACGTGAGGCTCAAGCTGCCTGCTGTGCTGTGAGGAATCAAGTCCTCTGTCTCTGACTCAGAACTCCCCTACTTTCCTCCAGTTGTCCATGAAACTGCAGCGGGCTGACTTGTTAGTTTGCAAGTAGGGTCAATCTCAGACCTCACAGCTCTTGAAGTTCACCAGGCCACAATACACAAGCACAAGAAGCACAGTAGCCAAAAATACTTTTTACATCATCCTGTGGCAGGCGAGTAATTAAACTGGCTATACTCACATCCTCTAAACCACAGCACATCCTGTGGAGAAAAACAACATGACAACAACAGAGCAAAATCTCTGATCTGGTAACTTCTATTTCTATACTAAGTAATTTGTATTAGGTTCCCTGGTAACAGACTCTGAGACAGAGTTCTGGGCACAAGTTTCACTGGGGAGTGCTGGCTGGGAGATACCTCTCTGTGGAAGTGAGGGCTACAAGACTGGGCTGAGGGAGAAGCTGACTTGCAGCGTGGCTACACCAAGACCTCAGCCCCTACACGGAGCTCCAGAGTTGGAGCTGCAAAGCTCCAAGAAGCCCTGCAGCTGTTTCAAGCTGAGGCAAAGCAATCGGGTTTTAATCCACCTACACAGCCTTGTCACTGGCTAGGGGAGGTATGCACAGTGAATAGTCCTAGTGGTCATCACTGAGTTACAGTCCAATATAGCTGAATGGCAACCTCGACTCCCAGAGCATATACACAATGAACCCCCCGTTTCACAGAGATCGGTAACCCTTTGGAATAATTCAGATGGTACTACTAAGTAAAAGTTCACGAACACAAATGAGCAGAAAGAGTGGCTGAATTTCCTAATGCTCAAATATAAAGAAACACATACACTGCTAACACTTTGTGCTTTATGCCTAGCACTGTGGTCACTGCTTCACATGTATTATCTCATTTACTTCTCATATTATCACACCCAATATACTGATGACAAGAGACAGGTTCAATAACTTGTCTAAGAATCAGAAGTAAGCAAGTGGCAGAGGTGGGCATCACACCCAGGTCTGCCTGTCTCCAGAGCCCATGCACTAAATTAACCAATCCATCCCACTATCTGGGGTGTTAAAGCACACACACCTCAGGAACGTGTCATCCATTTACCCTTCCAGGTCGACTTCTCACTCCCCCCAGAGCCCCCACCATCAGTACCTTGGGAAGCTGATCTGAATGTAATACCTGGAATGGCTTCCTTCCTATAGGATTACCTGGGCTGGTTGTGCCCTCAGATAAGATGGTGACTCTTGTAAGATGCTCCCTCCACACAGCCCATCTTCAGATTCAGTAACCACTCCCTCCCCTTGACCCTCCAGGCCGGGGGAAATTATTTCTATCACACAAGTCACCGAGGAGCCGCACTGCCCACAGCTGCTCCCCCACCGCTGCCCACACTCTGGGGGTTTCTGTTATATGCTCCACAGATTGCCCAACTTGACAGCTTCATCTCTTCCAGCTGATGTCCTAAACCAATCTTCATTTCTAAACATAAATATGACACTGAATGCAAAAGGTTATTATTATTTACTGCTATGATCTGAAAGTTCGTGTCCCCACACAAATTCATATAGTGAAATCCTAACCCCCAAAGATAAGGATATTAGGAGGTGAGGCCTTGGGAAGGTGCTTAAGTCACGAGTGTGGGACCCTCATGAATGGGATTAGGGCCTTAGGAAAGGCCCCACAGAGATCCTCAGCCACTTCTACCAGGTGAGGATACAGCAAGAAGGTGCTGGCTGTGAACCAGGAAGAGGACCACCATCAAAACATGACCAGGCTGATATCCTGATCCTGGACTTACAGCTTCTAGAGCTGTGAGAAACACACTTATGCTGTCTATAAGCTACCCAGTCTATGGTATTTTGTCACAGAATCTGAACAGACTATGTCACACATCTCCCTAGGAAAGGAATCTAAAGGTCATTTTCCTGGGAGTAAATACACTATTTTGGGGGGGAAAAAAAAGAATACTAAAAACAAGATACAAATGGTCCTGCTTTTCATTAAAAATAAGTAACAAAACACCTGGAATACTCTTGAGCAAGTTTAGCCAAGGTATAACATTAAATTAGACCTCCTTACCACTGACAGTCCCTTTCCTACCAACCCCTGCTCCCAAATCCATACCACCTTCAGCGTCATCTTCTCCTTCCTCACTGACATCTTGCCTCCTCTGAGAAGCAAGAGGAAAGCAAGTTGAGAAGTAAGCAGAAAAAACAAAGTACTTTCCTTCCATCCCTCCTGGTGGGACGTACTTTCTATCTTTAGAGAAGGATGTTTAACCTCCCAAGAAAGATCCAGAGAAGATCAGCCAAGTAAACAATGGACAACAACTGTGTTAGAAAGAAAAAAATAAGTGATAAGGTATGGAAAGGGAAAACATAAGTGTGTCTGAAGACAGTAAGCAGCATCTTTAGTCATTTAAAAAAATTTAAGTAAAACTATCATACCCCAGAGGATATCAAGGTTAAGAAAAGAATCAAGGAGAAATGATACACAGCTTTCAGAAACATTTAGAAAAGTTAACTGACGATGTGAATCATCACTCCTTCATTAAAAAGTTATCATGCATCAACCAAGCTTAGGGGTGGAAGAGAAATGAACTAGTGTGTTATCCTGTTTCAGTAATAACTACCTGGTGACCCTAAGCAATTTACCCTCCCTTAAGCTTCAATTTCCTCAACCATAAAATGGGTGGAATGATGGTAGCCAGCTCTCAAGTTTGCTGTGAGGATTAAATAATTAAGAGACACAAAGTGCTTTGCCCAGGTCCTAGTATACACTGAAGACTCAATACACATTAGCTAAGATGACTGCTATTAATGGTAAAAATTAAAAAGAAAACAAACAAAACACTCTTGACTTTATATAAGCTCAATCTATGGAGAACTCTGTTACTAAAACAAAACTAGAGAGACCTGAAATACACATATAATCTTCAGAATTTAATACAATAGACAGCACATTGCCGATTTTCTTAAAAGGTCACCAGCTATCACCAGACATATGGCTTAGATTCCTTTATTCTAAATAAGGAATATAAAAAAAGAACAACATTATAAATGATGGTGAGCATCAATGAGAACATATAAATGCAAGCAGGACTCTTACAGACTTAATAATTTAAAAAAATATTTGCAGGGCTAACTCAAGAAACTGAATAGATATCAGTTCATGGGTTATATGTCACTGGAATGATGAGTCACATTTACAGGGATGTGAACCTCCAACACGTCATAAAAAACCTACTCTTTCTCTTTCAGCTCAGGCAAATCCAAGTACCAGTGCTCTTCACTAATGATTTTCTTTTCTTCCTCTTCTAGTTGTTTCTTGGTTTCCGAGTCCAGTCCCCTTTGCATGAACTGTCAAAACATAACAAAATCAGAGTCAGAAACATTTTTCCCAACAACCTCATTTCTCTGGGAATCCCATCTCAAGGGTGGGGGTGGGGTGACCAAGCAGCTTAGCTGACCAAGACAAGAGGACTTCCAGGACACTAGAAAATAAACAAGTCAGTACTAAATCCTCAACCCTCTCATTCTTGCTCTGTACTCAGCTCTGGCTGAACAGCTACACTAGATAAGGAAACCTAAAGCAGCTGATCCCTTGCTTCTCACAGGATACTCCACTTCATCTGTATACTCTGTCTCCTGCTGTTCTGCCAGCTTTTTTGTCGGCAATGGCCAAACTTGCTAGAGAAGCTGGGTAATTGTTTCTCTCTCCTTTGCTTCAAGTGTCCAGCTGAGTGTTCCCCAACCACCCAAGCAGGGGTAGATAACTTTTTAAAGTTAACTTCTTCCTTCACAATTACAGAGTTATACTGTTGGTCTGAGCCCTAAACAACCAGCATATCTTCATTTGACTTATTCCAAGACTAAAACAACTGCTAAAATCTTCCCAATGTCTGCTTTGCCAATATACTTCCCTGAAATTTACATGATTACAAACCATAAGCAAAGAACCCCCTCTGTTCACTGAAGTTCCAAATTTTGCTAATACATATCAAAGAAGTACTTCAGAAATGATTAATTACACTACTACTTACTCTCCACCCTCACTCACTCTATTCATCCCAGGTTATACTTCAGCTCAACTCCACTCATGTCTTGCACATGCAACATTTACTCTCCAGTGTTTCAAAACATTTATGCCCTGCTTCCCTTCACTGCAAATTCCATTAATCTGTAAACACGACATCTAGCAGTTTGCATCTAGATGGTGGTGTTCAATGACAAGCAGTACAGAGTTGTACTGATAATTAAGAGAAGGGGCTTCAGAGCTTAAGCCCTGTCTACACTTATTTATAAACTGTGTAACTTTGGGCAAGTTACCTACTTCTTGTTTCAGATGCCTTAGCTGTAAATGAAGGATAATAATCATACCCACCTCAATCGGTTATTATGTGGCTTTCCTCCCTTATAATATGCAAATCACTCAGTGTCTAGCACATAGAGCTAGAAATGTTCGCTACTAACATTACTTAAGTGTTAAGGCTTACATGTTTCTCCTGTATTAATTCCTGTATTCATTTTATCTACCCTTGTCCGCACACCTCATCTGAAAATCAATTTTGTTTAAAGTTGCTGACATAACTCCACTTCCACCTCAACTGTTAAAATTCTCTCTGTTCCCACCACCACTGAAATCCCTCACCCAGATCATCAGTCCTAGCTGGTCGTTATGACTGCAGTTTTGTCGGGTCTTTCTGCCAGCAATGTATTCTCCACAGGACAGTGAAAGTAACGGTGAAAACTTAAGAAGCACAGCTCGTAACACTCGCCCCGGTGCCCAATCGCTTCCCAATGTTGCTCACAAGATAAAAAAAATTCCTAATCTGGCCTAAAATTCCTTCCTTGCATGCTGTGATTATTGGCTCCTTTTCCAGGCCCATTTCTTGCTACTTGCCTTCCAGACAGACTGAATGACCTTTAGTTCTCGGAAATTACGGACTTGGGGGTTGGGGGTGGTTTGCCTCTCCAACTTCTGAACTCGCTTCTCCCGCAGTCTGGGCCGCTCTGTCCCCCATCCTCCCACCTACCCTTCAGTGTCTACTAGTTGCCACTTCCGGCAGAAGCCCAACTAAGTTCCAGAGGCTCCCGGCGCTTCTAGCACCACTGCACTGAGTACACCATATTTTAAGTGCCTGCTTATGCGTCTGTCTCTCCTATCCGACCGCCGGTTTTAAGAGAGAATCTGCCGGAATTCATAATCCAGTTCCCGGTGCCTAAAGCAGAGCAGACGCTGCTCAGTGAATGAATGAACGCGAGAGCTGGAAGTCCTCCGGGGCTTCTCTAATGCCTTCGTACACCCACCGCCTCGTCTCTAGCCAGGTCGGAAAGACTGAGTATCCCCACCGCCCGACCCGCCTCCCTCGCGTCCCCGCACCTTCATGCGCAGCAAGTTCTTGGACAACTTAGTTTTGCGCTCGGCCGCCATAATGACTCCCACCGGGCTCCGCGGTCTGCAACTGGACCCACCGCGCATGCGCGATTCTGCGTGTGCGTGGGGCCCGTCATACGTAGCGTGCGTCGTCCCGCCCCGTCGGCTCCACCCCTGTTTCGCGCGGTTCGAGTTGGCCCGCGCTTTTTGCTCGTCGCCTCAGAGAGCATTTGCCTCGGGAGGTGCTTTCCTTGCGAAGAAGCCCCTCGTAAACACGGCTCTCAAAGCAGAAGTGAGAGCGACTTGACGCCGAGAGAGAGGGAGACCCCAAAGCGGGCGCTGCCTCGGGAGGCCGTAGTCCTGGGCGCCGTCAGCTTTCCCTGAGGGCTTCGATTGGTCCCCTCACGGCTGCTCACCGGCCTCTTGCTACCCGCCTCACGGACCCGGTCTTGCCGCGCGTCGCCGACCCAGTTGCCTTGGTGAGACCTTTGAGACAGTGGCCACACCAACCATCCCCCTGGACCGTTTCTTTGAATTGTTTCTAACGTGGCAGGCGGGTTTTCTGTGGCACTCCATGTGTGTAATAAGTTCAGTGCTCATGGGGCCGTCATTATCCTCTTGTTGCAGTTTTGAATAAACTGAGCTACAGGGAGGTTCCAGAACCAGCCCAAAGCCAGGGTGAGGGAGGTGGGGGTAAACCCAGGCAGTTTGGCTGCCGAATGGCCTTTACAGTGTCAAATCCACCTGTTAACTGGAGTGTGCGTCTTTAAACCCAAGTGGCCAGTTAAATAGGAAGAATAGGGAGAGGTAGATGTCAAAGACACGAGCATGAGAACATGACCTTATTTTCATACGAAGAGTTAAAATAACTTTGCCAAGATGATAGTTTAAATGCTGCGCATTACCACCTAAAGACAGTTTTCACGCCATTCATAGCTGCCACACTTTGAAAAACACCCATCCTGATAGCTCTTCCGCTGATAGCGTGCACTATATGCTGAATTCTTGTGCTAGGTACCTCATGTCTTTTATTTTTTTTTATTTTTAAAAATTTTATTTTTAATTTTGTATTTTATTTTTTTACCCCTGGGAGTGTGTATTACTTTAGTTGATCCTCATAAGAACTCTGAAGAAGGTATTGTGGTCCTCATATCGTTTGGGAACCTGAGGCCCAGAGATTAAGGGACTTACCAGAGTTTATACAGCTAGTAAGTGTTAGAGCTAAGATTGATCACAAAGCTGACACTTGAATAAAACAGTCATGCCCTGGCAGGTTTTCTCAGAGGAGGAAAAAAAGTCATTTTAATATGGTAAGTGGGTATAGAAACTTACTCATTCGTGTCTGTGTGTGAGATACTGGGTTCATCTCTGAGCTACACTGATGCATAAAATCACATGACTTGCCTTTCTTGGAGCTGACTATCTGGTGAGAGCCATGGCAGAAAGAAAAGAATGATGTGTTAGAGGAACTTTTAGGGTGACATTAGATAAGCTGATCTGGGATTGCTCTTGTCAGATGATAGTGCCCACGCTTGGAAGTTGAAAAAAAAATTTGTTGTATCAAGGATTGGAGGTAGAGTGTACCAAAGGGAGGGAATAGCAACTGTGAAAGTCCTGTAATGAGAACAAGATGAGTTGTCATAGAGTTTACATGGTGGGAACAGTAGAGGTAATCACATGTTATGGGTGGAATTGTGTCCCTCCAAGATTCATCAGAATTTTGTTTCAGAATGTGGCTGTATGACTTAGAGAATGAACTTATGATTGCCAGGGGGAAGGATAAGAGGAAGGGGTAGGGAGTTTGGGATGACATGTACACACTGCTGCATTTAGAATAGGTAACCAGCAAAGAGCTACTGTACAGCACATGCCACTCTGCTCAGTGTTCTGTGGCAGCCTGGTTGGGAGGGGAGTTTGGGGGAGAATGGGTATATGTATATGTATAGTTAAGTCCCTTCACTGTTCACCTGAAACTATCCCAATGTTGTTAATCGGCTCTACTCCAATATAAAATAAAAGGTTAAAAGAATGTGGCTGCTTTTGGAAACAGGACCTTTAAGGAGGTGATTAAATTAAAATGAGGCCCTTAGGGTCGGTGGCAATCTAACATGACTGGTGTCCTAATAAAAAGAAGAAATTTGAATACACAGGAAGATACCAGGATTGCGCATGTACAGAGGAAAGACAAAGCAAGAAGGTGGCCATTTAAAAGCTGAGTAGAAGAGGTCTCAGGAGAAATCAAACCTGCCTACACCTTCGTCTCGAACTTCTAGCCTTCAGAACTGTGAGAAAATAAAGTTTTGTGGCTTAAGCCACCTGGTCATACTATTTTGTTATGACACCAAATTAGCTCTTGATTACAATTATAATAAGAGCCCTATGTGAAAAATATGGGACTCATGAGAGGATATAGAAAAGGCATCTAAACCATTCTGGCCTGGAAAAGGAAGTTCTCTTAAGTATGTGACATTTGAGATCCGAAAGGGGGAGGAGTTAGCCTGAGGAAAAGCCTTCTAGTCGTTTAGTTTTGTGCTACCATAATTCCCATACATCCACAGACAACTTACTTGCAAAACTGAAATGCTACTCACTGAACAAAAACTCCTCATTCCCTCTCCCCCCAGCAAACTATACTACTTTCTGCTTCTGTGATTTGACTTCTGGTCAGGATTTTGAAAGAGGTTCTGTGAGAGCCAAGGTGAAGAAGTGATCCATTCTGCCATCTGCATCCAGGCATCCAGGAAATAGCTGACTGTGAACACTATCTTGAAAGATAGGCACATGTCTTGTCAGATTTAAGAGGAAAACAATTCCTGAAGAAAGAAGAGCATATGCACACCAGCTAAGGAAGCTAGAAGCTCTACACCTCCCCTCTGTACCTCTGTTGTTACCAATCTACTTGTACACTGGATTCTGATTCCTTTTCCGAAAACTTTGGCTTCATTATGGTCACTCTCCTGCTCCACAGTTTACAGTGAATATTGTTGTCTGAGGGATAAAGGTCAAATTCCTCAACCTTCAAAATTATGGATTTTTATTTGACATAGAAATACTTATAATTAAAGCAAATCCCCAAAGCTTCTACCCATCAAAATGTAATGAATTAAAAGTGGTTTAAGAGTAATAATGTAATTTTCTATACATCTGTAACAGACTTTTGGACTCTGTGGGAGAAGGCGAGGGTGGGATGTTCTGAGACAATAGCATTGAAACAAATATACTATCAAGTGTGAAACAGATCACCAGCCCAGGTTGGCTGTATGAGACAAGTGCTCAGGGCTGGTGCACTGGGAAGACCCAGAGGGATAGGATGGGGAGGGAGGTGGGAGGGAGGATGGGGATGTTGAACACATGTAAATCCATGGCTGATTCATGTTAATGTATGGCAAAAACCACTACAATACTGTAAAGTAATTAGCCTCCAACTAATAAAAATAAATGAAAAAAAAGAGTAATAATGTAGTTTTAACTTTGAATTAAATTCTCAGGGAAGATAACTCCTTCATCTCTCCCTGCTATTGAATTGTAGAATACAGAGGATAGGTTTCACACTCAATAATGTGTTAACCTGTTTTAGTTACACAGCCAAAGAAACACCATTTGGGGGGAAGAGAGATTTTCATAGGTTTTCACACCTATGAATCCTTTCATAATGGAATTTGTTGGATGAGTGAACACCTCCAAATCTTTCCAGTTACTAGACCCATTAAGAAAAGGTTCCCTGAGTCTCTTCATTCTTGGAGCCGATCATTTCTAAGGCTATGCAGCCCAGTACAGTAAGCCTATGATTAATATTTTGCTACTGAGCACTTGAAATGTGGCTAATGTGACTGCATAATGGAATATTTGTTTAAATTTAAAAACTATAGCAGTGTAAATATTTTCCTGTTTTACACATTTTATTATTTTGGCAGGACTATTTCACTGTAGCCTGTCTATGTTGAGATGTGCTGTAAGTGTAAAATATATACATTTCAAAGACTTGGAAGGAACAAGAGTAAAATATTTATATTTTTCATATTGATTAAATGTTTGGATAAGAGTTTAAATAAGAGTTTAAATTAAAAAAGAGTTTGGATGTATTGGTATAAATAAAACCTAACATTAAAATTAATTTCATCAGTTTCTTTTTTATAATGAGTCTGCTAGAAAATTTAAAATTATACATATTTCTTTTACTATTGTATTTCTTTTCTATTTTATGCTGTCTCTCTCCCTCTCACTCCCCGTCTTTCTTTTTATTTCTTTCTGTTAGCTTTTGTTCTTTTGTTTTTTGCAAGTACCAGAAATTGATCATGGCTTATTAAGTAAAATGGGGGTTTATTAGAAGGACATTTTTAGTAGTTTATAACAAGGCTGGAGAAAAGGGCAAGTTAAAAGGACAGAAACCAGGGCAGCACAGGTATCTAGGAAGCAGGAATTAGTGTCACTGCAGAAATAAAGAGCTTCAGATGACTGCTGTTAGGATTTTCAAATTTTCATAGTCAAGGAGAGAATCTCATTGAGTCTTAGCCAAGAGAGGGAAAGACCTGATATATAGTCCCTTCAGGACTATACACAATAGGGGAGGGTAATTTTTTGAAGAGAAATTGGGTGTATAACCCAAAGAAAAGATAATCATTGTAATAGCCCAAACAGCAAAGCCAAGGTTAAGTATCTATTTGAGGCAGGAAGGAAGAGAGTTCCCTTGACACAGCCATGGAGGACAAATAAAGAGCATCAGTTGGGAAACTGACACACAACATCAGATCTATTATTTCTCACAAGATGTTTTCCCTCTTGATGCCAAATCTTACTACTTTTATATGAGTAACAATCATAGACTCCTAATTTTTCTGCCTTATACCTTTTTCATTCTTCAACAAATATTATTAAATACCTCTTATGTTCTTGGCCCTTTGGTAGGTGGTAGGGAAACTATCTCTTCCTAATGGTATGTCGTAGACAAGGATATAGGTCTTAAATACTGTCATTGAGATAAGACTTATTGCAGGAAACCTAATCTGGATTTGAGGAGCTTGGAGAGTCTTCCTTGGGAAAGTGACACCTAAGCTGAG